TCTGCGACTAGTTTCTGAGGCAGCACATGCGACACGATCCTGAGTTCTAGTGAGTACCATGGTTCAAAAGTTTTCGGAAAAAATGAAAATTCGAAGAGTCAAACACCCAAGAGTACGTTGAAATGATAGTTTCTCACGATTGATGATATTCGCGGTCCTTCCAAGTTCGTCATTACTTTGGGGAAAAGGTGTGATTTATTTTGCAACACCCCTTACGCCTTTTTTGTCCACAGTAACTTCACTTTGTAAAATTAGGTGCCAATAAATTTGGACTCTGCTATTTTGATGCAATAATTGATTTATTATAAAGCTCTCAATGTTGGATATTTTTTTTTACCTTTGGGACTGTCAACTTATCTGAACACGTCGCGTTCACATAGTTGAATTCTGATTTTGATTTATGAGCTTTGTTTTCTATTTTTCTCCTTCTTTCTGTCAGGGACTTGGCATGACCTTGTAGTGCGTGTGCAGGATTGTGAATATGGCGTCTTGTGGTCGCAAAATTGTGTCCTTCACTTTTGGGTCGCAAGTGCGTTATAAGAGTAACAGCCAAATACCACTGTTCGATTAGATTAGAAGCCAAAGAGTTGTCGAGAGTGTTGTTAATTAACTGTTTTTCGTTTAGCCTATCAGGATAAAATTATGAACAACTAGCGCTTATAGCCCTTGTGTAGCTTTGCGTAAAAATCCAAAACAAACATCTAAACACACTATTTCCATAATGGTATGTTCATAGTCAGTCAGGATGCAAAATTTGTATTAGTACTCTCGCGTTTTGAAATGTAGTTCACTACTACATGATGATCTTCTTTATAATAGCATGCGTAACATTTTAGCGCTAACTCAACTCTTTGTTCTTTAGTTTGTAACACATAGTATCAATAGTTTATAACACAGACTATCAGCTTTGTCATCGTACTATCTCTTAGTCTCATCGAATGGTGTTAAATTTGTAGGAGCAAACGCGTAAGCAGTGTCAATGGTATTCTCCAAATAAATGTTGTGATGCGTGTAAATTTACTTATAAACATCGTATATCTTCAAGAATACCACAGAAAGATAATCCAAGGAGACCATTAATTTCCAAGCAAACATGAAAAACGCGGGATGTAACCCAACTCATGTTTCATCCATTATAGTCCTGTAGTTTCTGAACTGGAATGACAGAGTTTAGTCCCACGATTCCTGATTTTCACTAATACATATGTTTGTTTTGAATTTCGCGCAAAGCTACACGAGAGCTATCTAAGCTAGCCGTCTCTAATTTAGCAGTGAAAGACTAGAGGGAAGGCAGCTAGTCATCACCACTCACTGCCAACTCTTGAGCTACTCTTTTACCAACGAATAGTGGGATTGACCGTCACATATTATAACGCCCCCACGGCTGAAAGGGCGAGCATGTTTGGTGAGATGGGGATTCGAACCCTCAGATTGCGGGTCGAGAGCCCCTAACCACCTGGCTATACCGGGCCAATACGCATGACTAGCTGTTTCTATACTGTATGGTTCTGTAGGATTCCGCAAAATAAATATGGGAAGTTGTTGCCTTGGTTTTTATATTCACTGTCACGTATCTTCTTCATAGTTTTCTTAACACCGAAATGTCGGAACAT